ATCAACATATCGGCAATGGGGTTGATACCAATGTTTGGGCGGAAAACTGGATTATCAATACCATTCCTCGGCCACCAATGTACCGGGAAAATAGTTCCATAAATCTAGCGCTAAAAGTTTCTGATCTCTTTATTCCGGGTTCGAATCAGTGGAATACAACTTTATTACATCAAACTTTTACGGCAGAGGATGCTCAACGGATTTCATTTTTGAAACCATCATTGATGGTTGACGATACACTCAGATGGGGTTTTACAACGAGTGGTTCTTATTCGACTAGGAGCGGGTACAAGCTGTTAGAAGCTTTGGTTGAATATGATCATCCCTCAGGTCATTCCCTCACTATTATTGAAAAACAATTATGGAAGGAGGTATGGAAAGTTAAAGCTCCACCAAAAATAAAACATTTTATGTGGCGGGCTCTATCTGGTGCTCTAGCGGTGAAACAACGTTTGGCTACTCGGGGTATCCCGATATACCAAACATGTTCGATTTGCGGTACTGAGGCGGAGAGTATATGTCATGTGCTTTTTACATGTACGAAAGCACGCATAACATGGCAGCAAGCTAATTTTTCATTACTTCTAAATGGCTTTTCTCGGAACTCAACATTTTTAAAATTTGTTCACCTAATTAAGAGTGCCAAAAACACAGCAGTGGATATACATACAAGGGATGTTTTTCCATGGTTGTTATGGGAAATTTGGAAAGCAAGGAATAATTTTGTTTTCCAAGACAAAGATACTGAGCCTTCTTTTATTGCTAAGAAAGCCTTTGAAGTGGAATCAACATGGTTTGATACATTCACCGACACAAAAGTGAATGTCGATGATGCTCCTCCAGCAATGATTCGATGGAATCGACCTCCACATGGTTTCCTAAAATGTAATGTTGGATCTTCATGGTTAAGTCCGAATTGCATTAGTGGTGCTTCTTGGATCCTACAGGATGAAAATGGATGTACACTCATGCATAGTCAACGTGCTTATTCTTATATGCGTACAAAAGCAGAGGCCGATCTATGGTCTCTTTTATGGGCTGTGGAATGCATCCACAATTTGCATTTCTCGAATATTATTTTTGAGACTTCCTCCGAGGACCTCCATGACGTTTTCAGTAATCCGGATAACCATCTCAGTCTCAGTCTTGTCCGCTACAATGTCTGCTTTCTGCTATCCAAGATTGCTCTCTGGAGTCTAGATCACGCACTCCAAGAACGGAATAAAGCTGCTGACGCTATTGCTATAAGTGTCACTCGCGATCACCGTCACCAGTCTTACATCGCCAGCAATGCTCCCGTATGGCTACACCATCTGCTCGCTCTGGAAGCTCAGCATTTAACGGTTGGGTGAAGTTCTTTCTCCTTTTTGTTTTGATGTCTACTGACATCTTTTTCTCTTATGATTCTCTATCATTTTGTATTGTCTCGAATACTTTTACGTCTCAGTGTTATAAAAAAAAAGAGTTCTGGGATGAAATTGTAATAAAGTTAGTTATAAAAAAAAAAGAGTTCTGGGATGAAATTGTAATAAAGTTAAAAAAGAAAAAAAAATGTTCCCGGCGGGGCTCGAACCCGCGACCTTCGGCTCATAAGACCAACGCTCTAACCAAACTGAGCTACGGGAACTTTTTGTTATGTATGTTCTGTTTATTTATTTATTTAATTAATACTATTATAATTAGAATCTCTCTGTTTCCTTTCATGATCATCATCAAATGAAGCTAACATTAAAAAGATCGCCGACTTTTTATCAATCTGCAATGCATAACTACCAACAGCAGCCTCCTTCTTCCTCAATGGTACAATAATATCCAAGATCGTATTTAGTCTGTTGTACTGTTTGTGTTTGTATCTTAATTCTTAGCAGTAGTGAAGGTTTGGACCTTGGGATGAACCAAAGTAATTTGGAAGATTCGATCACAGTAGGTTATATTATAAAAACAGAGGATGGCTAAAGCCATTGTATAGTCTCAGAATAGAATACATTAGTTTATGGTCTGTTTACATCCGTGATTAGTCATCATATTGAATCGGTTTGAAGAACCAGTAACTGTAGTAAGTTATTCTCATAATCTCTTTAACGAAATTTTCGGATAGTATCCTGGTTGTGTCTAATATGAGATAGAGAAATAAACTATAACAAACACAATAGCTAATGTCTAACAATGTTGTTAGAATAACAAAATTCTAGAGAGGATCAACGATGTATACATAGAAACCTTTGAATAATCAACTGGAAATAATTTTTGAACAGTAATAACTGGTTAATTTTCGTCCATTTCTTCTCGAGTTCATTTCTAGATCATTTGAAATTATTTTAATCCCTAACTGAACTAAGGTACTAGATTATGACCCGCGCTTAAAAGCGCGAAATTTTTTTATGATTGAAAATTTATATAATTGGGTTTTGTATTAATTTAAATATTTTTTTGGTATAAAATCAATTCACCAAAGTTTGTGGTGATGATTGTTTTTCATTAGTTTTTAGTTTCAGTTTTTAATTTTAGATTTTGTTTTAAAATTTTGGTTTTTAGTTTTAAGTTTATATTTTTGATTCTCAAGTTTTGGTTTGAGTTTTTTAATTTTTAGACCCGATGAGTTAGTTTGAATTGATATTACCAACAAACAAATCTCAAATAATCAAACATCTAATTTAAAGCTGAAAATATGACACATTTTTTTTAAAAAAAATTGCAATAGTTTATTTTGTAAATAAACAAAAGCAAAAAATATAACCTGCGTTTTCAGCTTTTGGTTTGGATTTTAGTTTTTAGAGTTAGTTTTTGGTTTTGCTTTACATATTTTTTAAAAAATCTATATATTATTTAAGAAAAATAAAACAATAAATTATTTAAAAGTTACCATTGAAATTAATCAAAAAAAGTGATTGTTATTTAAAATAAAAAATACATTAACATGTTTTAAATTACATGATTTACATAAATGATTAATAATAGATAATTTTGTTTTGTTAAAAATATTAAATTTTGGGCCTGAAAATAATAATTGATTTTTTGATCTAGTAAGGTGGAAAGTTTATTCAATGTTTTTTGGAATTTTCCTTAATACTAAACCCAAAAACTAAACCATATAATTTGTTTTAAAAACAAAAGAAAGCCCAAGACTATATCCCATAAATAACCACCGGTTTAATTTAAGTAATACGGTTCAATTAACTATATGCTTTGTATTATTTGTAACACTCTAGAAATGGTCTAAAGTTAAATGATAACTTATATCAGTAAATAAAAAGAATGACTCTATTACACATATAAATCTGTTAGAAGGATATAGGATAGATCACGTAGAGTGATAGTAACTAATAACTATAGCTTCTAAAACAAATTGACACAGGAAATTGAAACAACGACATTGCAAACGGTCTCTCTCTAGCGACTGACTCTCTCGAGAAAAAACAAATCAGTTTCAAATCTTTAGCTCCGGTGGTCGGCAAGCTTTCAGCCACCACCGGAGGCGCCTCCTTTCTCCCTTATTTTATCTTAGCTCTTTCCTCTCCATTTCTGGGCCTCCGATATGTCGAAGCCTCTGGTGGTTCGTCTTGTTGTCGTCCGTCTACACCGCTGCAGAGGTCCCTTGATACGGCGGCGAGCTTTCTATTTGGAGATGAGACGAGGTTGTCACGGCGGTGGTGTAGGAAGGGGTCGGCTTTTAGGGTTTGGTTTCCAGATCTATTTTGTCTTTCGTCAGATCTGGTATTTGGTTGCAGCAGACGGCGGTGAAGCACATCTCTGTTTCAGATCGAGATTTGTTCTTCGATTGGTTATCCTCGTTTCTCTTCTCTGAGTTCGAGGTGTTTTTGGAGTCAGATCTGAAGAGTGTAGCGGCGGATGTTGTTGTAGTTTCTTGTCTCGAGGCGTCTTGGAACGAGAGCTCTCAACGATCCCGTTAAAGGTAACACTGGAGATTCCATTACTCGGTGGCGCGTGCAGTTCTCAGTCTCTGCTGTGTGGTGGCGATTGTGCTCTGATATCTGCGCGTGGAGGTTTGTGAGGCTTCTGAACCGCTTAGTCGTCTATGGCTATGGCGTATTGTTTCTTTATGACCTTCTTACCTTCCTGTGTTTCTCTACCCGAGTTTCGTTGTGTCATCACTCTCTTCCGCAAGCGACGGCTAAGTGTTGAGAGCTTAGGTTCTTGTTCTTCATCATTCGGAGCTTCTCCGTTAAGCCAACGGAGTGGCGTTTCACAGTCTCACTTTGGATCCCTCTTCAGTTCTTGAAGGTGGGCATTTGGCGTCGGATATCGTGTGGTCGGGTTGTCTCCGTCTCCTGCGTGTTCGTCGGTGGCTCCTTATGTTAGGGTAACATATCCCAGCACCGGCATTTGTCCTTGATGAATGGTGGTGGTGTTGCTCTTTTCCTTTCTTGTGCAGGTTATGAACCATCTTTGACATCGAACCAGCTGAAATCCCAAATCCGTTTTTATAGGTATGATCTCTATGTCTTGTGCACTTAAGAGACTGCAATTTCTTCAGTTTGGAGGAGAGTGGGATGCGTCAGCTCCTTCCCGGATTAACCTGGTGTGGTAGTGATGATGGAAGGCTCCGGAGTTGCGCCCACAACTTGGCTGTGTGGCCGATGAGTCAAAGCTGCGACCCTATGGTTGTACCGATTTTTTGCTTGATTCCGAGCTGAATGTAATTGTAAGGATGCCCTTTCGGGAAGTTAATATATTATTTAGTTTTAAAACAAAAAAAATAACAAAAAAAAAAAAAAAAAAAAAAAAAAAAACAGATTGACACTTTCATGTGTTAGTAGGCACAGATGATATATAAGCAAAGATGGTGTGAGACGTGTAAGATTAAAATCTATGTACATCTCTTGATTCCTCTATAGCCTTCAACAATAAATGAGAGTTTTTAAAGTATCCGACCCGAAGAAAATTGTATACGACCCGGATCCGATCCCCCAACAGATCGTAGGGCCCAAAATTTAAATCTCTCTCTCTTCATGTGCGTTTCATCTTCTTCGTCTGTTACACGCACTTACCTGAAAAATCTCCGATCTCTCTGATCGAAGACAATGGCGGCGTATAGAGCAGAGGACGATTACGATTTCCTCTACAAGGTGGTCCTAATCGGAGACTCCGGCGTCGGCAAATCCAACCTCCTCTCCCGCTTCACCCGCAACGAGTTCAGCCTCGAGTCCAAATCCACGATCGGCGTCGAGTTCGCCACCCGAAGCATCCGCGTCGACGAAAAAGTCGTCAAGGCTCAGATTTGGGACACCGCCGGCCAAGAAAGGTAAAAGGAGTAACGTTCTTGAATTCTCTCAAGAACTCAATTCTTGATTCTGATTTTATTTTTTATTTTTATTTTTAAGAAACTCAATTCTTGATTTTGATTTTTTTTTTATATTACTTTTTAAGAAACTCAATTCTTGATTTTGATTTTTTGATTTTTAATTTAAGAAACTCAATTCTTGATTTTGATTTTTTTTTATTATTTTTTGATATCTCTCAAAAACTCAATTCTTGATTCTGATTTTTTTTTAAGAAACTCAATTTTTGATTTTGCTTTTTTTTTTACTACTTTTTAAATTAATTCTTGATTTTGATTTTGATTTTTTGATTTTTACTTTAAGAAACTCAATTCTTGATTTTGATTTTTTATTATTTTTTTGTTATTTTTTGATATCTCTCAAGAACTCAATTCTTGATTTTGATTTTAATTTTGATTTTTCTTTATTTTTGATTTTCTTGAAAGGTACCGAGCGATCACGAGTGCGTACTATCGAGGAGCGGTGGGAGCGTTCCTTGTATACGACGTAACACGGCGCGTCACGTTCGAGAACGTTGAGAGGTGGCTCAAGGAGCTTAGAGACCACACGGACGCCAACATTGTCGTCATGCTCGTCGGCAACAAAGCTGATCTTCGTCACTTAAGAGCTGTTTCCACCGAAGATGCAACAGCCTTTGCTGAGAGGGAGAACACTTTCTTCATGGAGACGTCAGCGCTTGAAGCTTTGAACGTTGAGGATGCTTTCAATCAAGTGCTTTCTCAGATATATCGTGTGGCGAGTAAGAAGGCGTTGGAGATTGGTGGTGATGATCGTGGTACGTTGCCTAAAGGGCAGAGTATTAATGTTGGGGGTAAGGATGATGTTTCTGAGGTTAAGAAGGTTGGTTGCTGCTCGAGTTAGATGTTTTGGTTTATGTTCTGATTCTTGTAATGTTTTTTTTTTATCTGTTTTTAACAATTTATGAACAAAGAGGTTCTTTAGATGAATAAAATTTAAAAGAGACGCAAACCAAATGTACAAAGAACAAAAGAAGTATGTACAGTTTTTTTAGTCACTAAGCCAGTCTCAGCTTTAGCCTGTAACACAAGTTAAGTATCAATAATTTATAACTTGCATGTTTTAAAAAAAAAAACATAGGCGTTAACCTCCTATACTTGATCGTTCCTTGTTCTTTTCTGTGACCAGTGCCTCTGATTTACAGATTGGGCAGACGTTCTTGATAACCAACCACTTCTCCAAGCATTCTGCATGATACTCGTGCTTGCAGTCCAGCGTTGCGATCTTTTCTTGGTTCTTGTAGTTTTCCTGTCAATAAAACAACACAACATGTTAACTTATTAAGATGAGTGTGTGTTTGGGGGATGCAGTCTCATAGACGTTATTGGTTTTACCTGGCATATGGTGCAGAAATCTGTTTCTAGATCGGTAGATGGAGGAGCTTCTTCCAGGTTGATTCTGGTTGATATAGAGGTTCTTCTTTTCACAAGATCTTTAACGGTTTCTTCTGATAAGCCAGTCTTCACTGTTCCTATATCCTCGCTCAAAGCAAGAAGCTCCTGCGACAACAAACAATGAGGATTCATTCATTAAATATCTATATGGTGAAATATAGCCAAAGTGGTACAGAGTAACTGTTGACTCACCTCATATGACATGTCCTCTATGTCCAAGCGCATGTCTTCATGATCATCAACATAATCATCGTAGAAGTCTCCTTCATCTTCCTACACATATTAACATATAAAGAAAAGTTAAATCTTAAAGAGCAAACACTCTTGAACAAACTGACACTAAAAGATGAAAAACGTGGTGAAGGGGATAATACGTAAGCGGGAATTGCTCTAAGGTGAGACAGTCCATTGTATCTAAGAGTCGCTGCAGCAAAAAAATCATCACGGGGATGTTGCAGGCTCATCCTAAACCCAGGTGATTGAACCGGTCTCGCATGACTGTACGGGGCAGTGTATGAGGCTGGCGCCATGCGAGGGTAGACGGCGGGAGGAGGAGGACGAGGAGGAGGTGCCTGATGATGGGTAAAATAGTTAGGCATAGGGTATGCCAATGGTCCATCGTTTCTGCTACTAGATGCTTCATTGAATCTCGGAAGACAGACATTACCAGAGTCTATGGAGCCATTACCTACCAAATCATTCAAGAATAAGATTTACAAGAATCTACATAAAAAGACTAGTTTATATGCTAATAAGAATAAGGGATGTTACCATGCATAAAAGGTACAGAGGGTGGTGGTTGGAGCCAAAAGGAAGAAGAGGATCCATCAGATGTGTCGTCATTAACATGTTGGTCATACCAGATTGGTGGGACATGATGGGGTCCATAGTTAACGTGAGAGTAAGGAGGAGGATCCATTGAAACTGCTCCTCCTACTCTGCTCCTCACACTTCTCTGATCTATTGGTTGTGGATAAGAAGTAGAGGTAGGATAGTGTGGGAATGGGAAAGGAGCTGTCTCCGGTGGGAAAGAACAAGAAGCTGCTGATTCATTAAGATACTGATAATTTCCGGGTATAGCTTCAGAGCTCTTGCGTTTGTAACCGTGACCCATAAAATGTGGGTCAGATGCACCATGAGTTCCAGGAGCTAAGGGATGACTCGGTGGAGCATGTAAAGGCGCATAAGGGAGGTATAAACTTGGTGGGGTTGACATGCTAGGACCAGGATCGGAGGCACCTTGATGATGATGATGATGAGGATGAGGAGGATAGTGTGGAATACCGTTAAACATTGAGTTGTTGTTGTTTTCGAAGGTAGGAACAGGGTTCATGGGTGGGATGTTTGGATGAGAATGCTGCTCCATGTCGAAACCATTCATCATGTTTCTTTGTCTCATAATGCTAGTTAGTTCCAGAGACAACCACCTGATAGTTTGAATTGAAGAAAAGGTTAGCAACGTTACAGCTAAATAACAATCAATTACATTGCCTAAGCAATACTACAAGCAACTACTAGATTAATAGACCTAGACAGATTATGCCTTAAATTCCGACAAACTCAGAACAATTTAACTATTCAGCAGTTCGTGTAATAAAAAAATTCAAAAGATGATCGATCAACAAAACAATCCCACGAAATATTCATCAACTACTACTTGTCATATTAGGATGAACAGAAACTCCCCTGTAGCAGCACACAATACAAAACCTAGACGACACAAAACAGATTATGCCCTAATTCCGACAAAACCAGAATAATGCAACTCTTCAGCAGCAGGTCGTGTAATAAAGTTTTCAAAAGATGATCAGCAAAACAAACCCACGAAATATTATTTTCTCTGGGAACACACGGCCGTATACTCGAATTCAAAAGCGCGAGGAATTCGATTATTTGTGATGATGATAAGAGATAAATTACCAGATTATCGAAGGAGAGAGATCCAAGGACGAGAGATAGAGAGAAGAAGAAGAAGAAGAAGAGGATGGAGAAGGGAGACGGTGAGGGAAGGTTTTTATTCTCTCCTCCAGTTTCTTCCCTTTTTTTTTTATAATTCTAAATGGTTATCTTACCTTTTTTTTATTAATAATTAATTACTTCTTTTTGGCAGGTTTTCATTGGTTTCTTTAGTTTTCGGACAGCAAATGCTTTTTTCAATACTAGTTAATAATGATCAATATCCTAATTACGAGAACGACGTCGTAAACTATTGCTTTAATTAATTAGAGTGAGCACAATCTTTTGGGTTCTACTAAGATTGCCCGTTGTCTTGTACCAAAGCCTACGGAAAGGAAGCTCCAAACCAAACTTGGCAGGTTATCTTACCGTATCTTTTTTTTTTAATCTTACAATGTTCTAAAAATCGCTAGGTGGTGGTTAGGCGTTTTATAAAAGATTACTGATTAGGTGGGTTAGACCCAGTCCGTAACATTTAAAGACGGAAAGCTTTTTTTTTGTTGAACATAACATAACTTATACTAAAATTCCACACCATCTAAACATGATGTGGAAGAAAGGTAGCATTACAAAGAGTATTCTTAGCAAGCTGATCTGCAGCGAAGTTTAAAAGTCTTTCGACAAACTTAAAATAAACAACATAAAATTTGAAGGATAGATGTTCGACATCTTGGATGATTCCAAAGAGTTCAGTCGAAGGAAGTTTCGAAGAAATTGCTACTAAGAGCAATTGGCAGTCTGTGTTGAAACAGATGTTGTGATAGCCACGTGATAGGGCTGTGGTGATGATCCAGCATAGCGCTAAAGCTTCTGCAGTAAGCAATGAGGAGACATATCTTTCCACGCGTGGATCCTGGTGAATGACATGTTTTTCCTTGCTAAAGAAGGTAGAACCAAAGGCTGCAGTTTTGGTCATTATTCCAAGCTGCATCAGAGAACCCAAGTGTTAGAACATCCTAATCAGATATGCTTAACATCTGGTGTCGAAACTTAGGTGGAAGAGTTGCATTGATTTATGCCAAGTTCCTTTCCCGCGCACTGCCAATGACTCTGTTTACTGTGTTTGCAGGTGAGATGTGCCAGTCCTCAAAAATAAGCTTGTTCTTCGCGGTCCATATACTCCAGCAAACCTACGGGAAAATATAAGAAAGAATTCCCCACAGTGGAAGACAAGCTGAGGCTTTACAATATTTCAGAGCATCGGAGAAGGCAGTGATTGCTGTGAAATTATCAGGGTCAAAGTGTGGTGAGAACAGATCGGAGTCCCAAACTTTTCTAGCATAGTCACAATGAAGAAAGAAGTGTGAAATTGTTTCCAAACTTCCACATTTAGGACATGCCGTATTCTGTAATAGACCTCTTAGTTGTAGATTGGCTACTACAGGAAGAGTTCCTTGAGTGATTTCCACAAGAAGACTTGCAGCTTCGGAGAGATTCTTCCCGACCAAAGTAGAGATTTCCAATTAGGTCTTGGTTGGTGGGTGATCATGTTGTCCTCTAATTCTGCTGCAGCATAGTAACCAGAGCGGGTGGAATATATTCCATTTCTCAATCCCAGCCATACTACACCATCTCTAGCTCCCGTCTTACTTGGCTTAAGAAGTATAATATCGTCAAAGTGGTGGGGTAGAACATTTTCAATCATCTGAATGTTCTATTCCTTAGACTCACGAGTAAGAAGGTCTGCCACCCTCAAATCTTGGATTTCCTCAGATGCAAGTTTTATGGGTGCGAGGGGAAGTTCAGTGCTCAACCACCTGTCCTTCCAGACCCTAATGCTTTCGCCATCGCCAATCACTGAGCCTAGTTTTACATTAAGGAGATCTATACCAGCTAGGATTGCTCTCCAGCCATGAGAGAACACACTAGGTGTTTTGACTTGTAAAAAAGAAGCTTTTTGACAGTACTTTCCAACCAAGACACGAGCTAATAAACTGTCCGGAGCAGTAACGATGCGCCAAGCTTGCTTTGCTAATATAAGTGGAAGCAAAACCAAAATTTTGGATCTATTATAAATTAACTAAAAACAGATGTGGCTGTAAAGATTCGAATTCCCCAACTAAAACACGCTCGAACAGAAGAAAAATTATCTAAACTACCGAACATTTTTGTTAATTTAAGGCCAAAAATTTACATGATTTAAATCGGACCGGAAACATGTGCATCTGTCGCTTCTGCCAAGGACCATCAATGGGCGAGTGCTTAGGACGATTTTTTGATCGTGTATACTGTTTTTTTTTTAAATCGATTTAAAAAACTCGTTTTTCATTCACATCTGATTTACCGATTAGATGCCTAAACTGATTTTTCTAACAATGGTATCTTATGTTAGTCGGTTCGATATTGTCAAAATTCGGGTTCAAACATTGTCGAAAGCAAAACCACCATTCTCCCAGATACTGGTTGAAATTAATTCGGGTAACTAATGGCTTTGGTTCGGTACATGCATGATGCATCATGTGCTATTGTGCTCGCTCGTAGAAAGAAATATGATGTTTTAGGTTAAATGGTTTGCCACTGGCCTTTCACTTATCTAAGCTCTTCAATTTTCTGAATTCACGGATTGAATTTGATAAAATTCCACCTGATTTACTAAATTTCTGATCAAACTGAACCGGTTTGTCCAAACCGGTTAATCAAAAAGCTACAACTTGCATGTACAGTCCCTTAAACAAACCCGCTTTGCGGACGGTAACGCTGCCACGTCATCCTCCTCAGTTCCTCTGTTAAAAAAAAACTTAAAAGCTTAAAATAGAAGAAGCAGAGTTTCGTATCAACACAACGAAGAAGACGACTACGACGACGAAATGCGAGGGATGAGATCACTACGCGGTACTTCTAAATCCGCCTTAATTTTCCGTCCGGCGAGATTAACCTCTCTTCGGAGCCTCTTCACCGGTTGCCGTGCCGTGATGTTACCTCGATTCGGCGGTCCGGAGGTTTTAGAGCTCCGGGATAATATTCCGGTGCCGAATCTCAATCCCAACGAGGTTCTCGTCCGTGCGAAAGCTGTCTCCGTCAATCCTCTTGATTGCAGAGTGAGTCTTCTCCACTTGATCCGCTTCTCAATTGCGTTTTAATTAGGGTTTAGGAGTTTGTTATCGTAATTAAATTAATCTGCAATTGATGGTACTTAACAGTAACAGTAGTGAGATTTGTTAAGAATCTTGTGTTTAGGAGTTTGTTAAGAATCTTGTGTTTGTTAAGAATTTGTTCAGAATCTTAGGGTTTAGGAGTTTGTTAAGAATCTTGGGTTTGTTAAGAATTTGTTGAGAACCGGTGCTTCTAGCTCAAGTGGTAAAGGGCTTACAGCTGTGAGTACCGCCACCTGGTTCGAATCCCGGCTACTGGGGAATTAACATTTCAGCATCGCCACGGACAGAGCACCGACACGTGGCAACACGTGACTAATCTAGATTACTTCTGTGAGGCCAGGATAACTCTGTATAATTCAAAAAAAAAAAAGAATTTGTTAAGAATTTTGTGTTTGTTAAGAATTTGTTAAGAATCTTGTGTTTAGGGTTTAGGAGTTTGTTAAGAATCTTGTGTTTGGTACTTAACAGTAAGAGTAAGTGAGATTTTGATCTTTTGTGATTTTAGATAAGAGCAGGGTATGGACGTTCTGTGTTCCAACCGCATCTACCTATTATCATTGGACGTGATGTTAGTGGTGAAGTTGCTGCGATTGGGAACTCTGTTAAGTCGTTTAGAGTAGGGCAAGAAGTGTTTGGTGCGTTGCATCCTACTGCGTTAAGAGGTACTTATACTGATCATGCAATACTTTCTGAGGAGGAACTTACTGAGAAGCCAGCTTCAGTTTCTCATGTGGTATGTGACAAGTTCGACATGCCCTGTAACCTCTCTATCTTTGGTTTTGTTTTGTCAAGTGTCTTCAGCTGTTGTTTTGTTTGCTTTCTTGTAGGAGGCCAGTGCTATTCCTTTTGCAGCGTTGACTGCTTGGCGTGCTTTAAAGAGTGATGCTCGGATACTTGAAGGGTATGATTTTGAGAAACTATTGTTGTCTGCTTGTGGTAGGAAGCTGACCAGCTGAGACTAACTCACCTCTCAGCATTCACACATATGCTTTCCTGTTTTTTTTCTTTCTATTTTACTATGGACTCAACAGCGTATTCTTTGAAACCTTTCTATTTGCAGACAAAGAGTATTAGTTTTTGGAGGAGGAGGAGCAGTAGGTTTTGCTGCAATCCAGATTGCGGTAGCCTCTGGGTGTCATGTTACAGCTTCTTGTGTGGGTCAGACCAGAGATAGAATAGTAGCAGCTGGTGCCGAGCAGGCTGTTGACTACACAACCGAGGTAGTGACACTAGTTTTAACTTATTTATCTGCTGATCCAAAGTAGAGACGTGATTATTTTGTCATGAACCTGGATGTGTTTCATGTACAGGACATTGAGGTGGTGGTAAAAGGAAAGTTTGACGCTGTGTTGGATACTATTGGTCGGCCTGAAACTGAGAGAATAGGCATAAACTTTTTGAGGAGGGGTGGAAACTATATGACTCTCCAGGTATCCAACATCTCTTTTGTTTCTTGTCCTTTACGTGCTACAGTGACATTGGTTGCTTAAGTCTTGGATTAAGCTTAACAAAAACCGTTTTTTTTTTCTTTTGCATTTCTTTCTTGAAGGGTGAGGCTGCATCATTAACTGATAAATATGGTTTTGTGATTGGGCTTCCGCTTGCAACTTCGCTCTTGGCAAAGAAAAAGATTCAATATCAGTATTCTCATGGAATAGGTATATGTGTGCCTTACTCTCTCTATCTTAAAATTTTCAGTAACTAATATGTTAATAAAACATGTGTCATTAAACTATCTGAGTGTGAAAGAAAAGGTTATTCTGATAAAATCCGACTTTGATGAACTTAATAATACAGACTACTCGTGGTCGTATATGAGGGCTGATCCTGAAGGTCTAGCTGAGATTCAGCGGTTAGTTGGAGCTGGAAAGCTAAAGATACCAGTGGAAAAAACATTTCCGATAACCGAAGTTGTAGCAGCTCATGAAGCAAAGGAGAAGAAGGAGATTCCGGGTAAGGTGGTTCTTGAGCTCTGAACTATATATATAGAGAGAGAGTAACAATAATAATCCTTGCAGATCTCCCTAGCAGTTGTTCTTTTTTAGAAATTACACACACGGGAAACAAATGTTTTTCTGCGTCTTAAGTTTTCTGTATATGAGATCTATCATGCTTAGATTCAGGTTCAAAACTTTTGAAGTTTATGTATAGACTCTCCAAAGGGTTTTTATTTGGGCATTGTCTTTGTTGCAACTTGCAGTAAACCAACTATACCGAGTAATGAAAATGGTTTAGCTATGTTTTTTGTAGTCATCTTGTGTATGTGGCTTACTAAGATTTGATCTATCCACCAAAACATGTTACTCCCGAACAATAAACGAAACAGTCACTGAAATATGGTGGATTTAGATGCTCTTCTGGGTTATACATGAGAGCTTTTACCTCAAGATTAGTTGACAATTAGTACTGGATTAAGTGTGAAATTAGCTGCATGCCTCGACATTAATTGACAATGTTGAGAAAAAGAATAATACTTCAAAGAAGTTAGGCTAATCACAATCACACTAAATTGAAAAAGTTAGCAGCTAAAACAGAGGATGGAAAACTTGAGCCAAGACTCCGCTGATTTTTTTTTATCATACTTCTAAAATCAATGTAACAGTCTGTAACAGCAAATCACTGGCAAACCCGGTTGATTTGAGTAGACAAAGATAAAAAAAAATTCAACGAATCAAAAAGACTTCATCTCAGTTGCAACGAACTCTATGAGAGAACCAAGGCAGAAACTATCATATTTACAATGCAAAGCGCAGTCGTCTTCGCTACTTACCGGAACCAATATTCCATCCCTAAAAACGAATACTGGTTCAAGCCAACTCTTAGGGCTTGGGGATGTGTTCGCTTTATCTAAGCTCACTTGCTTTTCAGTAGAATGACTGCAACATTCAGCCGAGGCAAGAAAATTACCAGGTAAGCTTTTGCAAGGACATGCTTCCTTTTCTGAGATTTCATCGCGTTCTTCAACCTCTACTTCCTGTGTAGCACCCTTGTTTCTGGCAGAGATGAACTTTTTAACAGCAGCAATAAGTTCCACTGATAATGAAGAAACCGCATCATGTATACCCTCTGTTGTGATGTGGCTGCTACCATGTCTCAATTCGCGAGTAACTAATTTACGCATTGAATCTTTGAGGATGAAGACACACTGGGAGCAGCAACGGTACATACAAACTACACTAGGTTCATCCAGAGGATTGGTTCTTGCAGGCGTTTCAACTTGTTCAGGCATGCTGTTTGCAGATTCTAAACCATGAACTGCTTCACCATTACTTGACTCAGATGATTTCTTGGGATCTTCCATGGAGATAGAATTAGGTTCCCCAGATCCAACAGGATTGTTTTCGGAATTAGCTTTTTCTTGCAAACAAGTGACTGTTTCTGTTGTTTCTACCTCGCATGATCCATGGTTGGTTTCGTTCTGTTCATGGTCAGCTGCAGGAGAGTTAAGATCAAGGAGAACAGCCTGATGCAAGGAAATTACTGCTGAATCCTCAATCATCATTGCAGAATTCGAAGCATCATCACCATTCTCTTTGATCAAAACTAAGCCGTCCGTAATCTCTACAACTGGCTGATGATTGTCGGTAAGATTAGTGGATGCTATAGGATCTGGACAATCCACGTTCTGGGTATCTTCTTTCAGGTCTCCTTTTGATCGATCAGCTGTTCCTTGCTCAGTTGCCTCATTCCTCACTGACGCATCAGCTACAGAACACGACAATGGATTCATCGACTCGGTTTGAGCATTTGATTCAAAACTGTAAACAGTGAAATTGTGTTAGATATACAGCATGCGTTAGAACAAACGTACATAAAGCATAGTATATCAAGGCGTATACCTTCGCATTGCATATACCCAACTATTAACCAGATCTTCCAGATAAGCAACTTGAGACAAAATTCGGATATATTGACATCTGTCCTTTCCAGCTTCGATTTTCAGATTGATCCGCCCAACTAAGAGCTCGAGAACTTTCCTTACCTCAAAAGAGACTTCCCTCAGGGATGTATAGGTTCCTCTATAAGCTGATAATCCAACAGCAACGAGGCCTCGGGTAATGCCAGATACATCTTTGCCTCTAACATTGTTGGAACCAGAAGCAGTAATAGTCTGCTCTGATGGATTACAAGGACGAATGATACACGAATTAAACGGCCATCCTCTCCAAGGACCCGAAACATCTGCGCTTGGCCCTTCCTTAAGCTTTGATGTTACCCAACAAAGCTCAGCAAATTGAGGATACCGTAGAATTTGATAGCCAAATGTAGAGACAGCTAACTGCAAGCTTGATTTTGGTTTCACATTTATGCTGATCGGTATCGGTGGCACTTTTAAAGAACAATCCTCAGGGGGTTTTGAGTTAATACCAACTTCTTCCCCTGCACCATGATCAGTATTATTCTGATTAGCTGGATCTCTGCAACCCTGGTCAGGATCCTCTCTTTTGTATGTCTTCTGTAAGTCATAATGTATATGGGTTCCCTGATGCACTAAATGAAGAAAGACTTGGATTGCCCGCCTTGACAACTCAGTAGCAGATAGGTCAATAGCCATTTCTTGGTCAGAATTTTCAGCAACTTGTACAGTGAATTGTGGAACAGCCTCAGACATAGTTGGCAGATACTCCTTTGATAGGTCGGTTTTAAAGAATTGTTGTATCTTAGGAGGCAGGAGTTGGTAGGGCATGCCAGAAGTAGCCTATCACCAAAAAATAAGAGCTTAGTCTGACGTGTTGACACTCTTCTCAGAGACTGCTAATCGACAAAGTAGGGAATACAAAGATTTGAGAATGCAGAATACACGAAACTAAGGCTTTACATTCACAATATGCAAAAAAAAAAGTAACCGAAAGTAACTCAACAAGCAAGAAGTCTAGACAGCCCATTATCATCTACCGAAACAAGAAAAATATATTGGAGAAACGATATTAAGTAAGAAGTTACGTATACCAGAATTATCATCTTTGTGGAAACTCGCAATGATTCTACTTGCTCAAGAAATGTGTTCCAAGCATGTGAAACTCGAGAAGAATTCTGCAACTCCATTTTCTCCACTGTTTCTGGACGAACGGGAGACGAATTTTCTTTTGAAGAATCATCATCACACTCGACCTCCTCATTCATTGGAGTTTTTGTCTCTACAGCCCACAAATCAAGCCTTGGCATGAATACCACACATGATTTCCTGCTAGCACATTTCACTACAAGACGACAAGATTTACCAGTTAGTTTACTGGAAATGGACTAGAACCAAGCAAATAAAAAAAAGTTGCAGTCGATGAAAGACTACAAGAAAAATTGTGTGTAGCTGCTTAAATATCATTATCAAGGAAGTAATGAAATGTTAATAACAAAAGACGTACTTAATAAGTGAGTTACGCCAAGAACCAGATCCCCATTTCCTTCTTGTGAAATTGTTGCCGTGTCTATCTTCTGCATCTCTCCATTCCCAATAAAACAATGCAAGATACAAGAAGCAAGATGACGTTGACCAGATCTGGGTCCTCCAGCAATAAGCAGTTGGAACCCAGACTTGCTCACTGATTCTGGAGGAGCATTCCCCAAAACCCCGCGGACTCTGTGTACCATGAACTGTGCAGAACCCGAATTACAGTCTCCAGCACCAGGGGTGCTTGAAACAGATCTAACCAAGTCACCTCCTCCATCCAGTATCCCAGCATAAGAAAGTCTCTGAACTATATCCTTTACAACATCTACCTCCTGGAGAAGGCTATCAACATGAGACCACCAGCAATCATCAGTTATCTTCTTGTTGCTCAAAGCAGAACAGATCACATTTTGGAAATCGACCGCAGCTTTGGAAAGTAGAGGTGGCAGCACGATGCGGTCTTCAAGATGAAAAGCAACAAGTAAAGAACACAGTGACGGTAGCAAAGAAGGCACCAAGTAAACAGGAAGAGGAGAAGAAAATATATCGCTAGCTGCTTTTCCTGCTCCTCTACGAGAACATGGGGGTGGGGAGCGGGATAAAGCTTCCAACCAATCTCTTTCTTCAACTGAGAAGGACGGTAAAGCAACACGATTACTCCTAGAGATTCCCAACTCTGCAGCGGCCAAAGATTCTTGCAAAGGAAAGCTCCTATTCAAGGCGATCATGGCAGCTTGCGTGCAGAGAGCTTGTATATCCGCACCAGCAAAACCGGCAGTTTCTTTTGCAACCCACTTGAGCAAGTATCCAGACACCGGCTTAGGCCACTTTCTAGTGTGGAGTGAGATAATTGCAGCTCTGTCGTCGAGCGATGGTAGAGGGAAATAGATCTCCCTGTCAAATCTCCCTGGCCTCCTTAATGCTGGGTCAATAGCATCAGGGTAGTTCGTTGCACCTATGACCACCACTGAGCCACGCGACTTTAAGCCATCTAGTAATGCGAGCAATGTGGATACAACAGAGCTGTGTGTTTGATCTTGCTGCCTTGACCGTTTGGGAGCAAGACCATCAATCTCATCAAAAAATATGATTGATGGTTGGCATTTTTCAGCGACCTGAAATAAGAGTCTCAACTGGCGCTCAGCATCACCAACGTATTTTCCCAGACAGTCAGCCCCTTTGCGGGCAAAGTAGGCAATCCGTTTATTACCCCGAGCGAGGGAACCAATCAGTGCTCGAACCACAAGAGTTTTTCCTGTTCCAGGATGTCCATGCAAGAGGATACCTCTTGGAGGTGTGAGTCCAAGGTTATCAAAGAACTCTGGATATAGTAAAGGCAAAAGAACAACCTCTTTCATACATTGAGTTACACCCTCAAGCCCAGCAACAGAGTCCCATCCCTCAAATGCCTTTCCGTTCTCAGAATCAGAGCCTCCAATATACTCAGGAGCCACTCTTAATAGATCTCGATGTAGTCTCTTGCTTTCACGTTTTAAAAATTCTTCATCGTCTCCACATTTCTCAAACCACTTTTCTTCCGCTTCCACATCCTTACGCCATGCATCATTTGAGTGCTTCCTCATCTCCAAACGCATCTTCTTGGTTTTCATCTTCTTCATCCTATCTTGACATTGACGACCATGGGATTGGAAATGATGTCTGTGGTCCGTGCAAGCAATGAGAAACTTACGGTGATCAAAGATGCAACCATTAGCTCGTGCACAAGGCTGCAAAACACAGAATATTACAAAGAAGCTGTCAGAGCATGATACACTAATAGTTACAGCTGGAAGTTTATTAACCAATATCTCAGAGGCGAGGAAAAGAAAGCCAGAGAGGGAGTAAT